CTGTCACCGGCAAAACCCAATCGAAGCGCCTCGCCGCCATGATCAAAGCCCCCAAAACAATTCGTGTATAGTCATCTCCGTTCGCCAGAATCGAACCCTTGAAATTTCACCGAAAACCCACCCCGACGTTTCAGATTTTGGACGATTCCGGCCGCCTTGGACCTCCGTTCGCCTCACTGCCACTATATTTAGCTTCCTCGTCGTCGTCCGCTCAAAACCCAACCGGTGGGTCACGTCATAGTCGCCGTCCGCCACCGTGGGTAAGCTTCAGTGTTAGGATTTGGGTTTTTTTGTAATTTAAAGGAAATAAGGGTTTTTTTATAAAATATAATAATATTTTTAATATTTATTTTTAAAAATAAAATTTTAAAATTACTAGATTGTGACATGTGTCACTTAACGGAGAAAACTAACGGTCCTTCACGGCGTGGCCCATTTTGAGTAACGAATAAAATTTTAAAATTACTAGATTGTGACACGTGTCACTTAACGGAGAAAACTAACGGTCCGTCACGGCGTGACCTATTTTGAGTAACGAAATGAAACGTTAGGCACCATACTAGAACGAAAAAACGTTAGGTACTAAACTGAAAAAACGGGTATAAGTTGGGCACCTTTTGTATACTATCCAAAGAAATATTGAAGTCCATGTATTGTACCTTAAAGTTCATTTTACTCTATCTATTACAAAAAGGAACATCTTAGGCCCTATGATTTGAAATGTTAACATTTTGGTCCAAAATACTAAAGTTATTATTAGTTGCCTAATATATTTTGGTTTAAACACTTTTTAGGTCCTCTTACTTTTTAACTCGAGCTAATTAATCTAAATCAAAATATATTTTTTTGTGAATTTTTACACAAAATTTTTAAACACTTATGAAATCTAAACGTAAAATCAATTCATATTCTAACTTCAAACTCTGTTGTCTTCATTTACAAAGATATTACAATTACAAGTCAAAACATAAAAAGATATTTAAAATGTTTAATTGTAAAAGTGTACATTGAATTTCTTTTTAAAAATTTTAGATTTGGAGTGAGAGTATAAAAATATTTAAAATTTCATTAAAATTTCATTAAAATTATAAGAAGATATATTATATTTTTTTCGGTTTTTACTTTATTTAAAAAATATATCGAATCACAATTGAACGCATTTCATGAACTCATAAAAAGTTTCAACATCGACATAGATCGTTTTTATTTACTCATTTTCAAAATGTAAACCGAGTAAATTACTCTCCTTTTTTCAAGAGGGGTCAATTTGCTTAATTTCAATATTGACAAGGACTTAAGGGTAATTAAACCAAAACATTTAAGCCAACTAACTATAATTTCAAAATTTTGAACCAAAATGTTAACTTTTCAAATGTACATAGACTAAAATGTTCTCCTTAGAGTAGGACTAAAACGAAGATTTGGGTATAATGCAGGAACTAAAATGTTTAATTTTATAATAGAGAAACTAAATTGAATTTCGAAATATAATTACATTGACATCTAATATACTTTGACAACAAATATTTATACTTTTGTTGTTGGAGATATTTTAATTTTTATTTATGCGTTATCGATGCCCATGCATCTCTATACATTGATGTAATGTGCACTGTATATATAAATATTTATAGGATAAACTATTTATTCGGTATTTCATTTTACTCTTGTGATTATATTTTAATCATCAAAATATTTTTTAAATAAAATCATAAATAATGTTATATAAATTTTTTATTTTAGTCATCAAACATTAAAAACGACGATATTGATTTGATATTTTTTTTAATTTTCTACACAATTTTTCTTTTATTGTTAAAAGCCCATGTAACACATTCTAAGGAATAGACTAGTAATTATTAGACAAAACCTTAGTTTGAAAAGTAAAAATAAAAATAAAACAAATATTTTATTGAATCGAACAAAAAAGAAATAAGATAAGAAATCGTTTACTAATAGATAGCCATGAAATCAAATGAATAAAGTCGTTGAAGTATGTTTACACAATTTCCTTAAAATATATATATATATATATATATATATATATATATATATAGTGTTGTTATTTGTTGACTGTTTTAATAGGACAATTTTAAAACTCAAAATTGATATATTTAATGGGAAAGAGAATATTGTATTAAATACATTATTGAAATCTCCATTATTATGTTTTTCTAAACTATTATTTGTGTTTCATTTTGATACTTAAATTTTATATTTTTCAAAATCACATCTAAAGTTTAGTTTAAATTTTAATTTGGTAAAATTAACAGAACTGTTAACGTGATATTTTTTTTAATTTTTTAAATGATGGCATGACATTTTCTTAGCGTGACATGTTAACATCGCCGTTAAGTTTTTTAACGACATGCATCCAAATGAAACATAAATTAAAGATTATATATGATTTTAAAAAAATAAAGTTTAGATACTAAAATGTAACAAAAGTAACAATTTATATACTAAACGTGTAGTTTACTCAAAAGATATGGGTTTAGGTATTATTTGGGTAAAATTGCCCCCATAAGGGTTAGGGTTTAAGGTTTAAAAAATTCTTTGTTTTGATTTGAGTTTGCAGTGCCGAGATTGTTATAGAGGCTAAATAAGTGAAGAAGAAGACATATGAAAATGGATTCTTTCACAACAGGTTCAAGCGGAAGTGGGTCTTCCCAGCTTTCAACCGACCAATTCATTGACCAGATGAAGGCTCAACTTGCCCAGGCTTATGCTGAGGAGTTCCTCGAGGTTACCCTCTCAATCTTTTCTTTATTCCTTTTTCTGAGTTTTTCATATCTCTGAAAATCTTTGAGAAAATTTTGATCTTTTTGCATTTAAAATGCTGTTAGTTCCTGGGTTTATGTAGTTGGTCATCCATTTGTGCCTTTTTTTTTATTGATTTGCTGCTAAAAGCATGCTCTGCAAATGTACTTGCCCAATCATCTTCTCCTTTTCATTATGATTTTTATGAGAATTAAAATGCAATTTTACCATTTTATTGGCGTGTAATTTTTCAATTGTGAAAGGATTAAATCACCATTTCTATCATTTTAGGGTCAAAATGCATTTTTACCTCCAGATTAGCCACACTGTAGGTAACATATTGAACCTTTCTATTGGACATCTCACCTGTAGGCTTGCCTGTTGCTCACTGACTATGATCCGTTACCGGTTACTGTATCGGACGTCGAAACAGATATGATCCTTTAACGACCATCAATGTGTTCGGACATGAAAACCGAGTAACTGAGTTGGATTAACATAGCTTACGAGTGTCCTCTTTGAGAAAGTTGGCAGGATGCTTTCTACAGCATTATTGTGGGGTGAACTGCATAAAAACTTGATTCCTTTGTATCCATCATGCAGATCGTGAGGGAGAAGTGCTTCGACAAGTGCATCACGAAGCCTGGATTGAGTCTGAGCGGAAGTGAGAGTAGTTGCATCTCTAGATGTGTGGATCGATCATCGAGGCTACCAGTATCGTTGGCAGAGCTCTTTTAAATGCATCTCAATGAAATTTATGAACCAGAACATGTAAGCTTTCTGAATTTCGACAAATTTCCGAAGATGACTGATGTTTTGTGCTTGGTTTTACCATTCACATCTCTGTAAATTCTCCTGGGAATCTTTTACTTTGCATTTTGATGTTTGGTTTTGTACTTGTGAGCTCTGGTAATTCACATGGTTTCAGCTACGCTAACAAATATAGCACTGCTAAAAGTATTTCTGAAGTTTGTAGTTTGGAACAAGGCAAAAAGGTTGCGATAAAATTCGAAAAATCATCGTTACTGAATTAAATTTCAGATTTATAATCATATGTTAACAACATGAGGACTCTTAGTGTCAGGAGCGAACTCATGATCTTATTGTTAAGAGGGCGAATTTTTAAGATTTTAAGAGGGTTGAATTTATAAAATTCTAGTGACGAAAAAATATTATCGACCGAAAATATAAAAAATATCTAAAATATATGATAATTTGAAATTTTCATGAGACGATTACCCCTGTCAGCCCTAGATCGTTGTTCGGTGCATAAATAGTAAGGTTTCTACATGGTCAATGTAAGAGTTTGAATGGGATCAAATAGAGAAAAATCAAAATTCCTATTTGAATTGTCGTTGGTCTTATTACCACAGCGGAGTGTTAAACTTTTCCACTCATGGCTGCTATTGTTTAATTTTATTTTAGGGGTGAAGTATACTAATGGTCCATTGATTATAGGGTGTTATTTTGTTGAGTCTCCCGACTATTAAAAAATACAAAATGGTCCATCAGCTATAGGGTGTTGCTTTGTTGAGTCGGTTGACTATTAAAAATTACAAAAATTGTCATCTAACCATTCATTATGTTTCAAACTTGTCCTTATCCGTTAAAAAATTAACGGTCATTTGAGCTGGACGTTAACTTATTGACTAAGATATGATAAAATATGATATTATAATCTCAAATGACTATCATATCTCAGTCAACATGTTAATGTCTAATTCAGATAACCATTAATTTTTTAACGAAAAAGGATGAGTTTGGAACCTAACGAATAGTCAGGTGATCACTTTTTAATTTTTAATAGTCGAGGGACTCAACAAAGCAACACACTATAATCGGAGGACCATTTTATAACTTTTAATATTAAGGGGACTCAACAAAGTAATATCCTACATACAATGGACCATTTGTGTACTTTACTTTTTTTTTATTAAGTAGAGAGATATTATATTTTTCAAGATAATTGTCGGGATACAAACCCACACATAATAGGACAACATAAATATCCTTAACCACTCGACCAATTAATGTATATCGATTATTGTTTAATTTGATTTCCTCATTTTGCCAACCTCATTCGTGATATCTTTAATGCATGTCTTCATAGAAAAGGAAAAAGGAACTTTGAAAACAATATTACAACACCCTTCCTTTGTCTTTCCCCTATTTTATTCTTCAACTCACCACTCCTTCAAACCTAAACTATTCCTAGATTTCTCCCATCTGTCTTTACCCCCATGAAGATTATCAAAAGCTTCACCCCTTCTATCTTATTCCTTAATCTCGTAAGCGACGTCAAATTCTTGTTCGACAAGGCATTTACTCTTCTCGGTCTTCTCGAGCCACCGCCGCCTATACAAGAAGATTATCATCCTGGTGACGGTTACATTTTTTTGACAAGCAGTCGATCTGGGTTGATGCCGGTCCCGATCCAAGTTCTCATGGCGATGATCAAGAAAAACTTACCGGTTATTGAATACGGTGATTTCATCGAAAGACTGGAAGACCATGAGGATGAACAAGTGAAGAATGGTGATGATGACAGGGTATGCAGAGTATGCTTGGAATCCATGGAGAGAAGTGATGAGATGAGAGAGCTTTGTATGTGTTCTCATGTGTTCCATAAAGACTGTATTGATTCATGGGTTAATGAGGGTCGGGTTACTTGCCCTTTGTGTCGGTCTACTTTGTATCCCGAAACGATGGATTGGTCCAGATCTGATATTAATCTTTTCGTTCAACATTAATTAAATTTTAGTTTTATGTATTATAATATATATTATTTAGAATTTATAAATATATCAAATGGTTATATAAATATATGATAGCATATTTTAATATTTCAAGAGAAAAACCAGAAATTTACTTAATTAATTATAATCTCAACTTAAATCTATTTTCTCCAATTCGGTATATTTATAATCAATTAAGAAAATTCATTTGAAAATAGTATTCTTTTATGTAAAAATTTAGACAATCACGCAATGCTAAAAAGAAGAAGATGTTATTGTGTCGTTATAGTATATTGTCTTAGAGGCGAATTTGCTTCGACAATGTAGTTGTAGACGATCATTTTTGTCGGTGTACAAACGATCATTCTTAAAATTAAAACGGTATTCTTTAATTTATACACCCAAAAGAAAAATTGAAACTCAAATGATTATTCGTTTTTTTATCTACGAATGGATGATCAGAAGTAATCGAAAACCGATTGATTAACAAAGACGAAAAAAAAAAGGAAAACTGCTATTAAGTGAACAAGATAATACATGATGTTAGGAGTATAACCCGAAGAAATCGGGAATGCATTATGTAAACTTAAGATAAAGGTGTAATTAGAAGAAACCAGGAAAGATATCCCAGCCACTTACTCCCATTTTTTATACATAAATTAAAAAATATAATCGAATTTTGAATTCAAAATTTTATATAAATAGAGAATAAAGAATAAATACAATATTTAAAGATTTATTATTTTTATATAAAAAAGTAATATATCTTTGACATAAGTTAACAAGAACATCAAAGATAAAATCAAGTGAGTGACACATATGGTTCGGGCCATAACCTTAATCGCATCATTCAATACGAAAAGGTAATAAATTACTATATAAAATTTTACAATAATGAATTCATCTAGTGATTTTAATGGTTAAAGAAAATATTTGTTTTAGAAATTTTGGATTCAAATAGTTGTTTCTGCAGATATGTGTGTTGTCAATGATTAATAAAAATTTTGAACATATATTATATTATAATTTCCCTAGACGATAAAAAAAATTAAATAATAGTTAAACCCGCTAAAGCCCGCTTAATTTAAAATTTATAAAATTTTAGAAAAAATAAACTTAAAGAATTTTATAGAAAAAGAAAACAAATTACTTATAAATATGATGTTACTTATAACTATTGTAGTTCTTAAATTTATTAGGTGTTTGTCATAATTTTATCGTTGCTTAATATTTTTTTCATTTAAATATACATCATTATCATTTTGGTATTTAAAGTTTTTTTATTTAATTATGACCTTTATTTTTTTTCATGAAGTATGTTATCCATTTTGTTCTTAATTATAAAAGTCACGTGATATTCTAATAATATATCACATGACACGTAATATTTGGATTAAAAATAAGAAAGAAAAGTAAAATAAAAAATTAAAAATATACTTTTCAACTTTTAAAGACTTTTACAAAATAAATATATTTTAACAAATTAATACTTATATTTTATCAATTTTAGTATAATTGTATCTTTTAAATTTGCTCTTATACTGTAAGTATTTTATTTTATATTTCAATATTATGTTTTAGTATTTCTCTAAAGTATCCATAAAATACAATTATTAGAAACACTTGACAACTTTCTTGTTAGATTTGTATAATGTTTGACTTTGTTAAATTTTTAAGTTTGAATTTCTACTTTCAGACACTTCTGTGTATTCATATTATAGCCTTGAATAATTGTGTTTTATAAAAATATAATGTGGTTATTGTTTTATTTGTTTTTTAATTTGGTGATATAAGTGAATATTGTTTTTTTAATTTGAGTTTAAGTAATTATATCATTATATATATATATATATTAATGATTAAAAAATTAAAAAAAATATTATTTTATAATCATTTCCGGCTATTTAAAATAAAATTTAAATATTATTTATTATTTTGACAGTGCTACCTTCCTTTTCAAGTTGCTCGATCATTTTTAAAGGTGTAATAAGTTAAAACATTATTTTTTATTGTATTTAAAGCATTTAAAATTATTTTTATTAAACGGGCCGCGGGTAAGCCCGTTTAGCCCGCGGGTTAAATGGACGGGCCGCGGACCTTAAAATTCAAAACCGTTTATGAATGCGGGCTTTTTAGTCCGCACCGTTTAAGCCCGCACCGTCAAAACCCACGGGCTAAACGGGCGGGTAGCCCGTATACCCACCTCTACCTAGAGTTGCCGTCTACCAAAGTCTAAAAAAATCAAAATATTTAAAACAATGGCTTATTATAATAGGAGTCAAAGTTGTAAATGTAGGGGCCATACCTTTTTCAAATTCATTAGGATTTCGTGTGTTGATTAGTGAATGTCTGTCCAAGTTTAATAGAATGAATATCCGTGCAGTGTTTCTAAATATTTCGCACGTTTATTTCATGATGTTCCTTTTATTACTGCATGCAAAACCTTTACCTTTCACACCAATTAAACAGTTTTTGTAATTAAGAGATTTATTGTTATTTTTATATTTAATATTCGAGCACTGTATATAGTAAGAGTATGAGAATTCATTGTTAAATAATTGAAAATCATTAACATAAATTACCTTTTATATTTATCCCAAATTTATAAAAAAAAAACTCATCCAATTATAATCGGACACATGTTAAAAAATAACATTATGATGTGTTGTCCTTATTTATTACTTTTGAAATGTATATGGATTAAATTATTATATTTTAAATAGAATTATTTTTTAAAATTTATAAATTCATAGATAGATAAAAAATTTAGTGAATATATTTTTATTTTTTATTGTTAATCTCAGTAGTTTATTTTCATTCATCTAACGATTATAAATATGTGTAAAACTTTTACAATGTGTGATTGAATCCTTTTATATATAATTTTAACCTTTTATTATTACTTTTATAGTTAATGGTAATAGGAATGGTTAAGATATATTTATGGTTCAAGTGTTGATTATATTTTCATTAACAATTTTTAAAAAAATAATCTCTAAAAAATAAAAAATAGTTTAACTCCTCAAAATTTTTAAAAGTTCTCATTTTTTTTAACTTTTTTAAATATTTATATTTAAGTATCCTCCCAATTTTTTTTAAAAAAAATACTCATTCAGTCTTATTTTTAATTTTTTTAAACTAGACATTTATTTTTTGAAAATTTTAAATTAAACTCTTTGAAATAAATATTAATAATTCAAACATTTAAAAAATTAGAAAAAAAATTGGGGACAAAAGTTAGGAGAGAAAAAGAAATGGCTTTGTGTGTTGTATTGTATGCCTATATTTTAAGACCTATCCGAAGCCATGCATGCAAATCTCCTACTCGTGGTCGGTATACATTATGTGAAATAATTGGCCAAAAAAATACATTATGTGAAATACGTATACAACAATAATATTTTAAATACGGTAGATTAGCTAATATTTAATATTATTATAATATAATAAAAAAACGGTCATTTAAATATTAATTTGATTATAATTGATTATTTTTTTTATTAATCATTGATATCTGATTTATTGACAGACTAATCTAGATCAGATAATGCAGAGACAAGGACAACCCTCCCAACGCAGTTTACTATATTCGCAAACGTCAATGTTCGAATCCTTAGGATTGTTTAAGGAATCTAATGTCTCATCCTATAGAAAATTTCTATCAATTAATCTTTATTCTTCTCATAATTGCTTATTCTTCTTCCGAAAATATAATATTATTTTTTTACTTTTATGATATAATAACAATTTAACAATAATTTTTATTGTTTTATGGTAGAATCGCATTATCCAACTATAATTTTGATATTATGAACTCGTTAATCAAAAAAATAATTAAATTGAAGAAATTTTAAATATAAAGAGTTAAATTTAATTAATTATTTCAAATTAATATTAAATTAATAAAAATATATGAATTTTAAAAATTAAAACTGTTATTACATCAAATATTCAAATTGATAAAAGTATAAAAATGTTTTAAGCATTTGTTTTAAAGACAAAAATTATTTTTAAAGGAAATAGATGATTCCAGTGTACTTATCCAGTTCTGTCCATTTATTACCGAACATTTAGCAAACTCAGTGTGAATTTTGACTCAGCCAAATGAATAAACTCTGGTCGGTTAACGTTAAAAGAACAAGATAAACAACAAAATGTTCTAAGAAGATAAACATGAATGACCGTAACAGTAAATATGATAAGTACATATCTCTACTAAGTAAATATTTTAATAACGTTAAAAAGAAAATCGCAACGGTCAAAAGAATAGTTAAAAAAATTTTGTTTCTTAAGAATTTTCTCTAAAAAGATAGTATCCGCGCGGACGTGTCGAAGACACGTATTACCATTACCATTACCATTACCACTACCACTACCACTACCACTACCACTACCACTACCACTACCACTACCACTACCACTACCACTACCACTACCACGACCACGACCACGACCACGACCACGACCACGACCACGACCACGACCACGACCACGACCACGACCACGACCACGACCACGACCACGACCACGACCACGACCACGACCACGACCACGACCACGACCACGACCACGACCACGACCACGACCCGAGACGAGACGGCGGCGGCGGCGGCGCGCGAGAGTCCCCCTTGTCCTCTTTCACTCAACAAGGAAATGCAAAATACAAGCCTTAAATATAATTTCCCTAATATGCCATCCAATACTATGTGGGATTGAGCTTACCAACACTTGTTCCCAATATCATTATTCTTCATAAGTTATCATCCATTACAATATGAATTATCGATAATAAATTAATTCATTTAATAAGTATTTAAAATTATAACTTGATAAATACATGAAATAATTCTATTATTAAATAAAAATATATTTTTATATTAAATTATTGAGATAGATATTTACTATAAAAGTAAAAGATTTTTTTTTCACGTACAACCTCTATGTGAATTAGTTTCACAATAAGGTATCGGTTATGCATTGGATTCTTTCGTATTAGATGGTCTTTAATAAGATCA